TGGTATAATAGTCCAAAAAGAAAAATAAAATTGAAAAAAAGATCTCATGGAATAAAACTATAAAGATGTGGGACTGACCAAGCTACAATAAACCTTTGTGAACTTATTAGGTTAGAACAACTCTAAAAAGGATTTATGAATAAATCTCTCAAAAATGAATGAACGAAATATAAACTATTTTTTAGTATTTTTATTTTTCTTTTCTTTTCTTTTCTTTCACCCTACAAATTGACTTTAAAATCCTTGATCTAAAAGTATAATAGTCAAATCAAAGTGGAATTTACCAAGCTTCAAGTCAATGTATGGTTAGCCTTAATTATTGCCCAATGTGATATTAGGTTAGGGTTTAGTTGTTTCCTTGATCTAAAAGACTAATAGTCAAATCAAAGTGGAATTTACCAAGATTCAAGTCAATGTATAGTTAGCCTCAATTATTACCCAAAGTGATATTCGGTTAGGGTTTAGTTGTTTTAGGGTTTAGTTGTTTCCAAGTTATCATTTCAGCTTAAGAGAGTATTTGAGTTTGGTAAACTCATTGTAAAACCAATTTCGGTAATTTGAACCATTCACTTTTTTGGTTTCGTTGAGTAGAATATTCATGTAAAAAATATATTTTTGAATTATATTTGTTTTAATAAAATAGAAAATAAATAATTTTAAGACTAATCATCTATTTTTTGTAATACAAATTTGATTCAAATATGTAACTATAGATATCTGATCATCATAATTCAGGCCAATCCTAAGTTTTGTTGGGCCTAGGCAAACTATAGAAACGGAGCCTTTATACATATTAAACTAAATTATTAATAAAATGAGATATATGCATATTTTTTTATTTGTTAATATTCACACAGAATTTGCTGACACACACACACACACACACACACACATATATATTCACTAGAATTATGTATTAAAATTTATTTATATAGATTAAGATAAAAACACATCATTACAAGTCAAAAAGATTAAAATAAAATAAAATAAAAAACTGATTTTGTTGCTTTAGAACTCAAATAAATACAGCTTTGTTTTCAATTTTTCAAGAAAAGAAACTTTAAGAAAATAAAAATTAATTTAAAATATCACTTAAACATTACTCTTTTTTGTATTTTTAAATATAAAATTACTAATTGAATTTGCATAATTTAACTTATGTACTACATATTTTTCAATAGAAGATAAAATTAATTTATTCAATTCTTATTGTGACAACTAATTTATTCAATGTTTCTTATGATATAGTCGAGTGAATATAAGATTTAATTGATTTCAATTTTAACAATTTTATTTTTTTATAGGCAATTGTAGTTGACAAAGTCAACAATATTTGTATAAGCAATCAATGCATTTGACAAGCAATCAGTCATTACTTTTAAATTATTCAACACTTCAATTGTTTTTTAATTGTTTCAATAAAACTTCATTTTTTTAAGCTATTAATGCAATAATGTTATGTCTGATTCTCTAGAATGAAAGTGAAATAAAATGAAATGAAATACTCATTCATTAGTCTCTACATTCACTTACAATGGTAAATAATAATTCCATTTGCAATGTATTTTGTATTATTATTTTCGTGAACCAAATATAATAATGGACATTATGAATAAAACTATGAATCCATCCCATTTTCACTACAATAAACCAAATACTACCTAAGCCTTAAAATATTTGGGGCCCCTAATTTTTAAACAAAATTTGGTAGCCCAAGGCGACCACCGTGGTTGCCTAGTCCCAGGGTCGGCTCTGTCTTGATTTTGTGCATGAATATTCTATTTAATGAATCTTAAAATATGAATAATTCAAATCAACGAAATGAAACATATGATAAGCTCTATAGGCCCCTCAAATTCTTTTATATTGAGATGTGAATATGAGATAAATTTAACTCATTTGGTTAGTACTCAAACTAAAATGGTTATGATTCAAAACTCAAAAGTTTTGATTTTGTTACAATTTTTAGATTATACCAAAAATTGTTTCGATTATGCTAAAAACTAGAGGAACATATATTTGTGTATTTATTAATTTTTTGAAATATTTTTTTACAAATATTTTACTCTTTAGATACATCTAAATAAGGTGCATTTAAAAAAATAAAAAAATATTTAAAATTTTAAAAATATTTATTAAAAACAAAACAAAAAATGAATAATTCAAATCAACGAAATGAAACATATGGTAAGCTCTATAGGCCCCACAAATTCTTTTATATTGAGATGTGAATATGAGAGAAATTTAACTCATTTGGTTATTACTCAAACTAAAATGGTTATGATTCAACACTCAAAAGTTGTGATTTTGTTACAATTTTTAGATTATACCAAAAATTGTTTCGATTATGCTAAAAACTAGAGGAACATATATTTGTGTATTTATTAATTTTTTGAAATATTTTTTTACAAATATTTTACTCTTTAGATACATCTAAATAAGGTGCATTTAAAAAAATAAAAAAATATTTAAAATTTTAAAAATATTTATTAAAAACAAAACAAAAAAAAAACTTAATTTTAAAAAAATTAAATTCAGAAAATTGAAATCAAACATTGATTTTTATTTTATTTTTTATTTTTTTGAACAAATCTAAATGAGACCGATCTCAAACTTCATTTTAGCCTATGGTTTGGAGGGTGGGGTTGGGGTTATTTTGTTTAGGGTTCCTGGAATGGAATTGGGGGTTTATGGGTTTGATGGTTTAAGGTCGCTGGGAATGGGATTGGGTTCCCCGGAATAGGGGTGGCTAATTTCCTTTTTTCCATTTTTTTCTTTTAATGTATAATATATATGTATGTATATATTGTAAAATGATTAATGTAATGACTAAAATAAATTTTACCGTTGGTTAGAGGGATAGTTGAGATTGAAACAAAAATAAAAATCTAGAATTTAAATTGAAAAAATTAAAAATTAAAAATTTGATTTATGAAAAGAGTCCAACTTTAGGGTTTTTCTTATAATTTTTCCAAAAAAATATAATAAATTCACATATTAAGACAACGTACGTCCTTCTAAATTAATAGGAAATTTATGTGTAGATCTTAATAGATAAAATTATAATTAATGACATTTTTCATTCAACATTATTAAAAAAATCACTAATTGTTAATTTTTAGTAAAAATTTAAAAATTTTATTACAAAAAATGTTACTAATTATAAGTTTTAAAGACAGTTTAAAACAAAATGTTACAAAAAAATATCATTAATTTTCAACTTTGAAAGATAGTTTAAAAAATTCGTTATAGAAAAATGTTATTTATTGTAAGTTTTAGAGACAATTTACAAAAATCATGACAAAAAAATCACTAATTATCAATTTTTAGCGACATATATAAAAAATTATCACAAAAAATATTTTTAGCGACAATTTTACTAGCACTTATTGAAAACAATAGTAAGTTGGTGTTTGATAAAATTGAATACTGAAAATTAAGTATTGAAAACTAAATGCTGAATTTTTTAAGTTAAAAATTTGTTTGATAAAAATTTAAACGCTGAATTAAAAATAAGTTGTTTAATATGTGTAGTATAAAATTTGAAATTTTTTATTTTAAAATTATATATTTTAATTTTTATATTATGATAATGGTGGTGGTAGTAGCAGTGGTAGCAGTGGTGTGGTGGTAGTAGTCGCGATGATAGTAATAGTAAAATGATGGTGATGTTTATGACAATAATGACAATGGTGATGAAGGTGATGATAGCAGTGGTGATGGTGACGGAATGATGGTGGCGGCGATGGATGGTGGTGATAGTGATAGCGACAGTGGTGGTGATATGATGGTAGTGGTAGTGGTTGTGGTCGTGATAGTGAGAACGGTAGCAATGGTGGTGACAGTGATGATGACCGTGGCATGATGATAATGGTGACGGTGGCATGATAGTATGGTGGTGGTAGTGATAGTAATAATTGCAATAGTGTATAATAATGAATAATAATGAATATTGATAATTATATGTAATATTTGTAAATTTAATTAGAATTAAATAAATTTTATATGATTTAAACTTTTCTTGACTTTCAACTTATATTTTAAAAAATATTTAATTTTTTAAAGAATGTCAATTTTAATTATCAAATAAAATTAATTAATTAATTATCACTTAATCAATTTACCTTTTCATGACAAAAAAATCACTAATTATCAATTTTTAGCGACATATATAAAAAATTATCACAAAAAATATTTTTAGCGACAATTTTACTAGCACTTATTGAAAACAATAGTAAGTTGGTGTTTGATAAAATTGAAGACTGAAAATTAAGTATTGAAAACTAAATGCTGAATTTTTTAAGTTAAAAATTTGTTTTATAAAAATTTAAACGCTGAATTAAAAATAAGTTGTTTAATATGTGTAGTATAAAATTTGAAATTTTTTATTTTAAAATTATATATTTTAATTTTTATATTATGATAATGGTGGTGGTAGTAGTAGTGGTAGCAGTGGTGTGGTGGTAGTAGTCGCGATGATAGTAATAATAAAATGATGGTGATGTTTATGACAATATGACAATGGTGATGAAGGTGATAATAGCAGTGGTGATGGTGACGGAATGATGGTGGCGGCGATGGATGGTGGTGATAGTGATAGCGACAGTGATGGTGATATGATGGTAGTGGTTGTGGTCGTGGTCGTGATAGTGAGAACGGTAGCAATGGTGGTGACAGTGATGATGGCCGTGGCATGATGATAATGGTGACGGTGGCATGATAGTATGGTGGTGGTAGTGATAGTAATAATTGCAATAGTGATAATAAGTTTATAATAATGAATATTGATAATTATATGTAATATTTGTAAATTTAATTAGAATTAAATAAATTTTATATGATTTAAACTTTTCTTAACTTTCAACTTATATTTAAAAAATTATTTATTTTTTTTAAAGAATGTCAATTTTAATTATCAAATAAAATTAATTAATTAATTATCACTTAATCAATTCACCTTTTCAAGCGTTAAATTGTTATCAACCATTCCCTAAATTCAACTATTATGAAAAGTAGTTTACCAAATTGATTGGGAATATGAAGGGAACAACGATCAGGGCTTGGGGCGATCTGGAGTGGAGGTATGAATAAAACGAATTCAGAATATAAATTCGAAAGAAGCTGCTGCGTTAGGTTGTATTTCTGAACAAGCTTCATGGCACGCCAACTACAAACATTCTGCTTACGTCTTTCTCGGAGGCATTCCCTTTGATCTCACTCAAGCCGATCTTCTTGCTGTTTTTGCACAGTAAGTCACTTTCTTTTTCTTTTTCTTTTATTTATGTGTGCAAGAACAAGTTAAATATGGAGCTTGTACGAAATCATGACATTGTTTGTTTTCATATTTTGTTCTAGATAGATGCTTCTTTAATCTACATGCACAGTTCAAAGATAGATGATAATTCTCACAAATTCTGCTTATACATGTTTTGGCATTGCTTTTGCCTGCTCCTTTGTCTTGCTGTTATAATGCCAAGTCATTTCTTATGTTCCAGTAATCATTCATGACTGGAATTAGTTACTTAAAAAAAAAAAGGGGCAAACTTCATTTTAGCCTATGGTTTGGATCATGTGCCGTTTACTCCCCTAACATTTGAAAATGATCACATAACCCTTTTGATTAGTATACTGTTAAGCCCGTTAATGAATTAATGAAAAAGACTAAAATGCCTTGTTTTTTCGCCATTTGTTTGGAAATACAAGTGCAATTTACCCCCTTGAAATTTGAAAATAAGCATATAACTCCCTTTGTCTGTCACGTGTTTCACACTTTCTATTAAATTGGACAGAATGTTTAGTGATGCACTTCAATCCATAAACCATGTCGGGTTATGTGGTCACTTCCAAATGTTAGGGGATAAACCGCACATAACCCAAATCACAAGGGATAAATTGAAGTTTGCCCTTAAAAAAATTATGAATGGAATTAAGCCATATGAGTAACATTTTCTTTTTAGGGGAACTACAACTGTGGTGAGGTCATGGAGTGTGTGACAAGGGCTGGGTTTTTGGTGACACAACTTTTGGGAGTGGATTCAATTCAAGTGAGTTTCAACAAAAAATGAGAGAAGAATTTAATGTATAACTATAAATTTCTTGGACTAAGTTTCTTCAGGGGATATTAAAGTTATCGAGGAGCTATAAACATCGGCATGAATCTTTTTGATTTAAGGGGAGTATAAAATGGGAAAAAAATCCAAGCTTGATCACGTGCTAAGAAACTTCATGTGACTGCAGATTACAGAGGATATGTTGGAGAATAATATTTTGAATTAATGAACTTGGTCGGTTTTGTTCGATGTTTAAATTTTACTACTATCGCGGAAGATATCCTTGACAAGAGTATTTTGAGCTTGTGGCCCAAAGGCAGGAGACGTGAAACAACATCAAATTCAATTGCTTTTGGAAAGTGGATATTCTTGCTACTAATTCTTATTTTATTTATCAAAGTTCATCCTAATCGTGATTATTGCCTACCCTATTTGTGAATAATGGAGTTTGTCATTTGTTGTTGGATATTTCGGGATTTAGCTTTCTTGGAAGAAAAATATTGAAAATTGCTGTTTTTTCCTATCATTTTTTCCCTTGACAGAGTGGAATGGCGAAAAAAGATTCATGCAGCAGACCTCACCTAATTAGACACAAAACTTAGTTTGTTTTAGTTTAATAGATTCCATAGGTGAACCTTCTGTTCATAGCAGAGGGATGAGGGGGTGTTGTGCTATCATCATTATTAGTCATATCAGTCCCCCTCCAAATTTTGTTGTCGTTGACAGACTGTAAAGGGATTTCGATCGATGCCACCACTATGTGACCTTTGGCGAAAGAAGAGAATTAACTTGTTCCCTCTCCCTTTGAAGGAATCCAGCAGCTGCCTGAAGACGGAAGACTCACTGCTCGGTACCAAAGAGTCTACTTGAGCTATACAAGATTAAAATAAACTAGCAGCAGTAACCACATCAATGTTGCAAGTTGTCGTTCTTTACGCTGTAACATGATTTTATGAAATCCAAATGAGCATTCTTGCTATTGTCAAGGTATTCTAACTTCTGTTGCTTTACAAAAAATAAATAAATAAATAAAATCATTATTCAACAAAAGGTCTCAAACACCATTAATCACTGGGTCTATATCCTACCTTCTTTTTATTTCCCTAAAGCCTTAATTATTCTCCAGCACTTCTCATGTTTGAAAGCATTTATAACATTGAACTTGGAAGTTGGATCTCTCTTCTAATAGCTCAGTGGTGCCTGTAGTTTCATGTGTGTAGTAGATATGTCGCTCTAAGTTGATTTCCATTCAGTGTGGGGATTGTTCATACTCAAAGTAGCCCTGTGTACCGTTCTGTCCTATTTGCAGCACTAATTAAAAACTGCAGATATGTGAAAAATGAGAATTTCAACTTAAATTTAGGTTATAGGGTTTGAAAATAATTGGCTTATTTCAAATATCAAATCATAGGCCCGTAAGTTTCTTTTATTAGTTCTTGTTACAAAGTAGTGTGAAACTTGTAACATAATGTTTATTTATGTATGAGAAATAATGGGTTTCATAGCTTGCATTAACTACTATTCTTTCTGATTTTTATGGTGCCATTCTTTTCCACATATATTCATCTGCTTTAATCTTGTTTTGTTTTATTTTGTTTTTATTTTTGTTTTGTTCTCATCACTGGAATCTGCTGTCTGATTGAGTAATTTACAGATATGGAGAGATTGTTGATGTTAATCTTGTCAGAGATGAAGGCACTGGTAAATAAAAAGGTTTTGCTTTCATTGCATATGAGGATCAAAGAAATACAAATCTTGCTGTTGGTCTCTCTCTCTCTCTCTCTAGCTATATCAATTTGACTATAAGAAAATATTTACTTATATAGGCCACGTTTGGGAAGTGGCTATTTTAGTTTTTGGCTATTTTAGTAGGTTAAAATTTTTGTGTTTGAGAAGATGATTGGATTTTTTTGTGGTTGGATGTGATGTTTGTGAGAGAAAAAGTGAAATGATTATGGATTTGATGTGATATTTTGTCTTATTAGCTATTTTAGCCTATTTTGTCTTTTTGTGATTTTTAGCCTAAACTAGGCTATTTTTTTTCTTCCCAAACACCCCCATAAGTTTCTTACGAATGTCACAATTGAAAATATTCCCTATTGTTTGCTAAGTTGTAATACCATTGCTTATTGTTTGATATACCTAACAGACAATCTGAATGGAGCTCAAGTTCTCGGTCAAATCATTAGGGTTGATCATGTTACTAACTATAAAAAGAAAGAAGAAGAAGATGAAGAAATAGAGCGGCAAAAGATGGAAGCACAAGGAGTGTGCCGTGTTTTTCAAAGAGGCGAATGTAACCGTGGAGCTGGATGCAAATTTTCCCATGATGAACAAGTAAGATTGATGATTCTCTTTAGAAGCACCATAGCCATTTTATGTCTTTTCTTGCTTACAAGGTATAGAATATCTTAGTTGGTCAATTTCTTTGCTTTCAAAATTGTAAGTTATAGCCCTAATAACATTAGGAGAGCCCAATAGCATATAATACAACTGTAATCTTTCTATTAAGGGAAGTTGAGTTTTAGTGAATTTGTGATTGTGCAGCTCGTTAGAAAGTCTTGGTAGAATTTTTAAGAGTTTTCTTCTCCTGTATCATTTTTCTCCTCCTCTTTCAAGAAGTCACTATTTGGGTGCTATTCACAGTCCTTGTACCCAGAACCCTAACCTATCTTTTGTTTTTGTTTTTCCTTATTAATCAGCAACTAAGACAATTGTATTAGAGAACATGTCGAGGGGGCAGAACCTTTCTACAATCAAGGAAAAAGAAAAAGGAAAATAGAAGATGCCAGAGATGGTTCCAAAAACCCTACATCAAACCATAGAAAACCACCCCCAACTGCAAGTTATATCAATAAAGTTCTAACTTCTCGAATGGTTCCTTCTTGGGGTCTGACATAGATTTTCATTTAGCTTCACCAGCTTTACCAATTATCACCACAGAAGTAAAAATACATCTCCTCTCCTAAAACTTCTTAAAATCTTCCATAAAGACAAAGAAAACACTGACAGACTTTCTTGGGTTTCTCACAAAATGTCCCAGCCAATGGCCCATGTTCATCGATATTCTATCAACTCTAACCCATTCCCTTACCTTTGGCCATTTGAGTGAATTAATCTTATGTCAACTAAATTTCTTCGATAGCCAGTGTGGGATGATTCATAATTTTTTATGTAAATGTCATGTTGTTGTTGGGATTTTGGAAGGCTTAGCTTTAGATTGTCTTCCTATTCATGATTGCCACATTACCAGTAATTGTGAATGAAATCTTTCTATTTTGTTATAATCTGATTGCATGAATCATTAACTATTGTGGCATGTACATGACATGAGACGTGATGGTTGCTTCATATTTTTGTTCTCAATAGATTTTTAACTATATTTCTGTATTTCATGTGTAAAAGATCATTTCCCATTGTTTGGGGAATGTATACTATTCCCAGGGTGTCAAACAAAAATGATAATTGTGCGTATATGCCTACATACGTACGTACATGCAAATGTATTTAGGTGTCAACTGTTATGCAACTTTAATTCCAAATTGGACCCTATCAATACCTAATTGGTAAAGAAACTTTTGCCCTTTGTGGATACAATTGTACATGTGTTAGTAGTTTAAACAATCTGTGTGTTTGTAATGCCCGAATGCATCTGCATCTCAATGCCAACCCAGTGATCTGGGTTATTCAACTATGATTGATTACTCAATAGTTCAATTAAAAAATTCTTATGGATCTTACACGTAATTGTTGAAGCATGTGTGAAGGTAGAGTCACACATTGGATAAAAATTAAAAGAGATAGGTCTTAATATACATAAGATAGGCTCTCCACTTATAGGCTTGAGCTTTTAAGTGGGTATAAGTTCCAAATAATGTGTGTCAGGCCTTGATGTGTTATTTGTGGACTCTAGAGTTTCTTCTTAATGGATTGGGCCGGTATTGTTGTGTGCTTATGGGCTCTTGGTATCAGAGCTAATGGCAGACGATCAATGGGCGGACTCTCCTGGAGCATCGATGTTGGTGGACTTGGGCTTGCATGGAGACTCTCAATGGAGCAAGAAAAATACATGATTAACTCTTGATGGAGCAAAGAAAATTCTTGGTACACGTGGAAAGGTTGGACTGCGATAAGGTGGTTCTCAATGGAGTATGGTGAATCATGATGGAGTGTGTGCGGATGGCCCAAGTTAGACTCAATGTTGGAGAGTTATAGATCAAGATTAAGGGGGAGTGTGAAATGATCTACGATGAACTTACTGATAATAGATCAAGATTTGAGGGGGAGTTAGGAGATGACCGATGTTTGGTTCACACATGATGGGGAGCATGTGTGAAGGTAGAGTCCCACATCAAATGAAAAATAAAAGAGATAGGTCTTAATATACATAAGATAGGCTCACCACTTAGAGGCTTAAGCTTTTAAGTGGGTATGAGTTCCAAATGGATTTTTTTTTTTAAAGTTGAAATAAATTGATTTATTTTTTTTCAGGTAATTTGCATTACTTATTGTTCTTATGTAAAAAAATTATTATTTTATCTTTTCTCAATCATATATTATTCTCAAATTTTAATTTTTATCTTTGAGACATTAAACTTCTAGTCGATACATATTAAAAAAAAAAAAAACACACATTAATGTTTCTTACATAACCAAACCAAGCATTGAGTCTCATAAAATGAGGTCGGCTACATGAATCATTCTTCTCTACTCAACTCTATTCAAGGCCATTTCGTTAGTTAAACTAAGAAGATTTATATCTCTATTTACTACACTACTCCATGTCAACTTAGGTCTACCCTTTCCCCTAACACTATCATCTACCGTCATTGTATCGTATCTCTTCACTACTGCCTCTGTTGGTCTCCGTTGTATATGACTAAATCATCTCAATCTATTATCTCTTAATTTATTTTCTATCGGAACTATTCCTACTTATTCTCGAATATACTCTTTCCTAACTATATCTTTCTAGTCTTGCCACACATCCACTTTAGCATCTTCATCTCAGCAACACTCATCTTATCTTCATGTTTGTTTCTTAATTGTCCAACATTCCGTCCCATACAATATTGCTGGTCTAATAGCCGTTCTATAAAACTTCCCTTTTTGGATACTCATTTATCGCACAGTACTCCAAACGCACTCCTCTACTTAAGCTACTCCGCTTTAATTCTGTGGACCACATCCTCTCTAATCTCCCAAGTCGTTGTGACAATCGATCCTAAATAACAAAAATGGTCACTCTTAGATAGTTCTTGGTTCTCAATCTTCACTTTTCCTCTGCTTCCATTATGACTGTTACTAAAATTACACTCCATATACTCTATCTTAGTTATGTTTATCCTAACTATTTTAAATTCAAGTGTTTTTCTCTAAATTTTTAACTTAGGCCTCGTTTGGGAACTCTCCCATTTAGCCAAAAAGTCAAAAAGTTATTAAATTAGCCAAAAAGCCAACAACCCATACCAAAAAGTCAAAGATTATCTTCTCTCTACTTTTTGCACATCTTTTCGTAAAAAGTCAAAAAGTCATCACAAACATACTAGTTTTTTTTAGCTCATATTTTAGCCAAATAGCTAAAAAATTACTTAATTAGCATGTTCCCAAACGAGGTCTTAGTATTAACTCCTTTTCTAGTCTTATCTACTAAGACGATATCTTCTGCAAAAAATATACACTATGGCACATCATCCTGAATATTGCGCCTCAATTCATCCATAGCTAAAGCGAAAAGATAAGGACTTAAGGTTGATCTTTGGTGTAACCCTACAGTAATTGGAAATTCATTTGTCTCTCCAGTAGGCGATCTAATAATAATCACCACATGTTCATACATATCTCTAATCACATCAATATAACATTTTGTCATCCCTTTCTTCTCTAACACCCACTAGATGATATCCCGATGCACTCTATCATATGTTTTAAAAAAATTAAAGAATAAATATTAAAGAAAAAAAAAATCTTACATTTATTGAGGTTTCTAACAATTAAACCAAACTCATTTATTATCAACATTTATCTTAAAATAATGCTATATGCACCAACTAGTGTTCCAATTGATGATGTAACATAATTTATGATGTTTTTGCTATTTGTAATTTGTAATTTGTATAATGAGTGGGGTCAATAATAATGTCATAACTAGTGTTGGTACACTAGTTAGTATAGTATACTAATTGGTGTATGTAGCACCATCATTTATCTTAACCTTAAATGTACTAAATTTAATTTGTCCTATTAAATATATATGAAATTCTTAAGTTTGGCATCATAAAAAAAATTCAAAAAGCCAAAAAGTCACTAAAAAAACAAAAAAGTCCATACTATTTACCACTTTTTGGAGGGAAAAGTGTCCATTGAAAAAAAATTTAAAAAAAAGAAAAAAGAAAAGAAGTGCAAAACGGCGCTGCACAACACTGTGCAGCCACACATCCCAAGTGGTTTGATAACGTGACACACTTCTAAGCCACACATGCCATAAATAAAAAAATAAAATAAAAAAAATTGAAAAGGGATAGCAAGTACACTGCATAGTCCAGGTGCTTGTGTCAGCGAAGATAATATGGTAATTTTATAATTTTATACAATATTTTAATCCACATTTTTTCATAAAAAGTCAAAAAGTTAACCCAAACATTCATATTTTTTTCCTCTACTTTTTAGTCCAAAAAACAAAAAGTACACTTATTTAGGACACCCCAAACAACCCATACTCTATTTTTTCCACAACAAGTTTTTGAACTTTTATAAACAAAAAATAAAATAAAAATTCAACCATTAATGAAGGTGAGAAATTAATTTTGTCATACTTTAATTTAATAAAAATAGTTTAAATGAGATAAATAAAGATAGAAAAATAAATTTTAAGTATCATACATGACAAATTAATTGAGTATTTTATTATTCTCAAATAATTTTTCCATTTAAGTAAAGATTATTTTAATTTTAGGCGTAAGAAATGATAAATTGTTTGAATTGTTTATTATTCTCAAATGATTTCTTGATCCTTCATTTCTTATTAGCTAATTTTAATTTATTGTGAGGCAATTAGATTTTTTTTACTTCTATATTTATTTTTTTTTATTTTGTTAATCAGGTAAGAAATATTAACTTACTTTTTTAAATATCCATCGACTAAAAGTTTAATGATTCAAAGATAAAAATTAAAATTTAATAATAATATATGATTAAGAACAGATAATTTTAGAGAGATTGTTTATTTTTAAGTATTTAATTAATAAAAATTAATTTTTTTTTCTTTTTTCATTAAAAGATTTAATAATGTCCTAACAATTTAAAGATTTTATTTAATATTGCATGAAATTTAACAATTTTATTAAATAATGCTAAAATATGTATGAGTCTTTGATAATATATATGTAAAATGTCAAGGGAGTTGAGTAAAATATCTCGTTTGAATAGATAAGGTAACTAATGAGCAATATTTTAATTTTTGGCATTATAGCCTAAAACATTAGTATGACATCAGCAAATTCTGTTAAATAGCTTAACAGTGGGGGAATCTTAATAGTAGTTTCAAAAGTATGAAAAGTTAATGTAATTATTGAAATTATAGGAGAAGTTCTGCAATCGTTAAAAACCTCAAGGAAGTAAGTGTAATTTACCCAAATATTTATATATTTTCTGTTGTTTGGAAATGAAGAACTACCTCAGGTTGTTCATATGATGACGAAATTGTTTTTAATTAATTAACCCAATCTAAAGGCACATTAATTTTTTTAATTCGTTTGAAAATTGATTATTTTAATTAATTTTTTTTTATAAAAGTGTGGGGATATATTTTCTAAGTACCAACACGTGGCCAATGTGACGCCGACGTGTCAGCCGAGGTACCACGTGTCCTGGTTGTGACGCCGAGGTGATCTCGGCAAGGTCGAGGTTATCTCCGAAGATATCGGAATTCGAGATAAGCGGATAAGGGACAAGAGTCCTAGAATAAAGAGGAGACTTAGTTAAGATGAGGATAAAACTTTTAGGGAGTTTATCTTTATCTCTTGAGGAGTCCAAAGTAGGTACTGAATTGGAGTCCATAGAAGTCAAGCCTCTAGTGGAACTAGGATTGAGTAAACTATAAAAGAGAGGCACCCCCGTGGGTCTAAGGTACGCAATTTTATACTTTGAACAGTGAGTTTAGCACTTGATTATCTTTGAGAGATATACTGACTTGATCGTCGGAGTGCCTTCGGGTGGAAGAACCACCACCGGAGCCTTTTCTTTCTGTTACAGGTTAGCTGAAGCCATCTATTCTGCCGGTGCTCTCCAGCTGGTTACTAAGCGGGTAGTGTGGTCAGAAAATCACCCACACAATTTGGCGCTATCTGTGGGAACTTAGAAGAATAGATGGCCAGTAACGGACAGAAGGAAAACATTGGGGGCGACTCTCCTGCTGGGAGTGGCAGACCAATTGACCTTGATGTTGAAGGAGACAATCACAATGCAGAAACTCATGACCAGGGCCACAGGGAGAAAGACGTCGGCCAGGAGGGCGACACTTCGAAGAAGACAAACCAAGGCAAGTACTATAACGAAGATAACCTTCAGGTATGGAGGGATAGGTGCCTACAGAGGGATGAGGAAGTAAAAGAATTGGCAAACAAGTTGGCAAACCTACAGTCGGTCGTCAACTTCATGATGCAAAACAATGTCATGCAGCCACCATACCAGCTGCAGGACACGTCGATGCCAGCAGCTAATACCAAGAAGGGAGGAAGAAGAACAATCCGCGAAGTCCCTCAGCACACCAGGAGCGGAAGGCACTCTCACCGACCTTCCAGGGAAGTCGGATGAGAGGAGGCGAAACGAGAGGAGTCCCGAAGAACGTATCACACGAAGGACCCAGAGCCCAAAGAACATTGACATGTTCAAGGGCAGGCGCTCTGCTTTGACACAACACATGGAGAGAGATCAAAACGAGCCCACCACGAGGCCGAAAGTAGTGTGCCGAAGAGATTGAAGTCCAGAGATAGCCGAGCTCCAAGGAGGAGCAAAGAAGACTTGAGAGATTACCTTAAAGGAAGCAACAGAATGCTGAAGCCGAGGTAACTTCCTCGGTTAAGCCGAGGACACCATTCTCGGTGGAACTGGACAAATTTGAAGCACCAAAGAGATTCAGTATGCCGAGGTTCCAGATATATGATGGTAAGTCAGATCCCAACTTTCACGTTGGACTATGCCTGAATTCAGTAGCGTTATATAGTGGGAACAAGCCGTTGCTCTGCAAAGTATTTCCCTCATCCTTCGGGGAAATTGCATCAGATTGGTTCCATAAACTACCAAAGGGAAGCGTAAAAACTTGGGAAGGCCTGGCCGAGATGTTTGTGGCCAGGTTTGTGACAAATAAACTACAGCCCTTAAGGGTCGACGCACTGATGGCTTTAAAAATTACCAAGGATGAAGGCCTTAGGGCCTACGCAAAAAGGTACTACGAGGTGTTCAATCGAATACCTGATTGCAACCAAGAGGTGGCGGTCGTATCCTTCAAGAACGGCCTGAAAGATGACTGCCCACTACGGAAGTCTTTGGCAAAGACATTGCCAAAAAGCATGGAAGAACTCATGGCGAGAATCGAGAAGTACGCCAGAGCCGAGGATGATGCGTCGGGAAATAAAGAA